GACCTCGCAGTCGCGGCCTCAGGCGGGAGGCCGCCTGGTCCCGGACAGACGCGTCCCCCATTCAGTTCATTCCCAAAAGAGGAAGGAGACACCCACAGGGGTGGAGAGAGGCCGAGAGAAAGGTGCGACTAACCGGACACCAGGCGCATCCTTCCCCCTGCCCCGGTCTGAACCCGCAGCCCCAGGCTGTCCGGGGAGACCGAGCTGCGCTTCTGCTGGCGCTGGCAGAGGAGTTGGCAGCGCCAGGACCACACCGGGGCGCGCATCTGGGCACTTCTCCGCCCAGTGCCATGCCCAGCTCCCGTGGCACAGCCGGCAACTGGTGACTAGGGGTTTCCTCACCCTCTCGCACCAGCTCCCCAGTTTTCCCAGCCCGCACTGGGGGGCTGAGGCCCCAGCCCTTGGCATTTCCCCCCCCCCGCCCCCACCCCCAGAAACCCGTGGCTTATCTCGGTTTTCTCCTGCTGCTCCCAGGTGGGCAGGGCTCCTATCCATCCAGCGCTTCAGGATGGAGAAACTTTACAGGAGCAGCAAGCCCCCTGGGTGTCTGTGCCCTTTCTTACCACTTCTCACCCAGGAAAACGGTCCCGAATTTTTAAAGAAGCCGCTTCAGGATTTGGAAGGGGAGCAGGGTTTTAAGATTTCTCACAGTCCAGGTGGTCCCCTCCACTCTGAGCCTGTGGCCAGTGCCTGGGTTACCCGGCCCTAAAGAAAGAAAAGCCGCAGTGAGCTGGGAAGCCTGTTAGGACAGCCGAGGCCTCCATGCCCCTTCCCACACCGGGAGGAAACGCAGCTTCCTCCTCTGGCCACGTAGGAGCAGGCCAGGTGAGGCCTGGCTGACCCTGTGGTACACGGAGAACCTGGGAGGCCTTGGCTGGTCAGGCCTGGCCTGCACCGTCTTTCTTCCCACTTTCCTTGAGAACTAAACACAGAATCTAGAACTAGCCTTCAGTTTCAATGTCCCCTCAAATCAACAGGCAACTTTTAGATTCTGGGGGAACGAAGAAAACAAAGGTCACGCACAAGAGGGAATGAAATCTCCGACCTTGCGCCCACAGGCTTGTGGGCTTTCCCGGAAAAGGAAAAATGAGAGCGAGAGAAGCAAACACAGCCAGTAGAGTATACGGAGTGCCAGGGCTCCGTGCTGCTGACTCCAATGGGGCTCAGGATACCTGGGTCATTCATTGGGCTGTCCCGCTGGGTGATGAAACCAGAGGGGTAGGTTTCATTGGGAGTCAGGGGCCTGCGGTGGCATTCACCGCTGGAAAGGAGTGAAGGGGACAGGGGAGAAGCAGTATGGCACTTCCTCCCTTTCTTCTGGATGGACAAATGGCTTGGACTCAGAGACGTCTCTGTTTCCCTGTCATTTCCAAATGCCAAGCTTTAGGTGGGGGCGGGGAAACCAAGGGACAGACGCCCTCCTGGCGGATCTGGGCTCCAGCCTTCGAGTTGGGCAGCCCAGGGGTGGGAGCTGCGCCAGTTGGTGTGCGCCTGGAGACCCCTGCTGCTCGTCCTTGCTGCGACTTCTCCCGAGTCCCCTCCCTCCCACCACTCCGGCCCCCTTTCACCATCCTCCCCTTCTGTTCCTGGAGCTTCTCCCTGTGTGTGCGCACAGGCAAGCAAGAGAAAAGGGCCTGCGAGGGGGAGTTTGGGGCCTTGTGTCCGCACACATCTTCTTCTCGTGCTCATCTCGCCCTCTCGCCAGGGAAGCTGAGCGCTGGTGAGGAGGGCAAGGGGAGGGTAGAGTGCAGCCAGAGTGCAGGGAGTGTGAGGGAGGGTCAGGCATTGGAGGAAAGGCCTGGGCACTCAGGGTCCCCACTCCAAAAGGGGTCCAGGCGCCCCCACCCATCCAAGGTGACCACAGACACAATGGCCCAAGAGTCATCAACATCTCTTGAAAAGGCGCTGGAATCAGGCTTTGGACATGGAACTGAGCTGTGTGGAGTAGCCTGAAGAGCGAAGCTTAGGAGTCTGTGGTCTGACCAGGGGGGCCACATGGAGGGACCGTTACTTCCAGCCCCGCCACCTGGGTGCTGGAGGGTTATGGGAAACCGGCTGAGCGGGAGAGGAGCTCATTAACCTTGCTCCCAGGGCAGGTGAAGACTCAGGGCTCAGGATGGATGCTGAGTTGCTTTTTTCGCCAGTTGCCCCTGCCAGGCCTTGCCCCAGCCATGAGCTGAGCAGATTTGGGTCTAGGATGTGATCCTTGCTCCATATTCCACGCAAAATGTGGGGGAGAATGAAGGTGGGTCAAGTCCTTTCTCCCAATAATAGGGGTGACTCAGAGGTCGATAAGAGTCCCTCTGACTACCAACAGGGGCAGATTCTGGAGATGCGGGCCCAGTTCTTACTCTCACTCCAGAGAGGCGATCCTATGAGAATTCCAGAGAAGGCAGTGGATTTTTTCAAAGGATCGTGAAATTCTCCGGAAAATGGGAGGAATTCCGGCAGATCGTTGGGAAGGGCCTCTGCCGGTTGGGTGCTCCCTGGGGTTCCGCCAGCGCGACCTCCCTCTGCGGAGGGAAGGCGCGAGGATGCAGGCCAGTCAGCACCGGCGATCGGACAGCTCCCTTTTGGGGCGCGGCTCCTTCAGCAACCGCCGGGAGGTGGAGGAGGGAGGGCCTGTCTCTACTGAGAGGGCTTGGGGGTGGTCACTTAGGGGAGACGCCCAGCTGAAGGTCAGTATAATAGGATCTACCCGTTTGCATTTAGGGTTTTCCTCTCCAACTACCTTTCCTTTTCCCACTTGTGTCAGGGCGCTGTCATTTTGGGATCTGGGATCCAACCTTTAAAAGCCTTAGCACGCCTGACCTCAAGCCCCAAACCCACACACACTACAGCCCCCACTGCAGTTCTAAAACAAGAAACGATGTGTTGTTGTTTTTTTAAAGATAATTGAAGTAAGCAGCGTTAGAAACAGCTGGGTGCAGTACTCCTAAGTGTACTCAGGCTCTGGGATGAGGTCTTTAGGACTGAGCCCCCTTTCCACATATCCCAGGGGTCCAGTGGGCACTGGTGTGTTTTGGGTGGAGAATCCGTTCAGGGAAGTCAATTCAGAGATTCCTCTGCCCCTGAGGCTCAGAGAAAGAGAACGGGAGGCTACCTTGTCTGAATGGGGAAGCGGTGGGCAGGACAGCCTCCTCTGAGGTGCCCCTCCTCCGCCTCCTTAGGTTGAGGACTTGCCAGTGTGAGGAGCCTCCTCAGGCAGGAAGGAGGCTGTGTACCAGCGGGGTTCCCACTGCCCTGCCACGGGGAAGCTCAGGGCTAGGTCGAGCTCCACTCTACCTGGTGGGTGCCTAGGCTTAGGCACCCTCATAGAGTTCTGGAGTGTTCCGTCAACCTCATCAGCACCCCTACAGATTTCAACATTCCTGAGGCTAAAGATGACCCATTCCCCGGAGTCCACGGAACACATATTTAAGACCGAAAAGATTTCCTCCATTAATATTCCATCCTCATGACCTTATAATTTTTTAAAATTAAAAACAGCCGTGTCTGGCTTAAATGGTTGTCTGTGTATCCCTGCACGCTTGTTTTTGTTGCAACAGTGGGCAGAGGGTTGTCAAATAACTGGCTGCTCCCAACGCGGTCATTTTTCGGTGATGAAAAGATATTTTGTTTCCAATGGAGGTGCGCGTGCATGTTTGGGAGCTGAAGGAGTGTCAGGAGATTAGCGCGATGCTTTGTGCTGGGGGCGTGTGTGTCTGTGTAAGGTCTGGGAGGCACCGTGGTTGTAGCCGTTTGGGTGCCCAGTGGATGGGTGTGAGGGATCTCGAGGGTGGCCAGGGTCCCTGTCCCTGGCCTCTGCACAGTCACTTGACTGTCGCCATCACCCCGAGCCCCAGCTCAGTCCCTGGAATGAAACGAGGCCACCGTGAGAAACGGATCCGGCTTTGCATCTCATTTACATAAATATTTATTAATCGTCATTAAACTGAACAGAAACACGCAATGCACTTCGGGTGTCCGACGGGAGTTTAATCTTCGCTACAAGAGGAAGGTAAAATTGCGTGTGAGTGTATGGGTGAATGAGTGGGTGTCGCCTGTGGGTTTGCATTTTGCACCGTGTGTTTGGATGCCTCATCTCCTGCCTCCGGTGGGGAGAGGGTCTTCTTTTGCCCCTTTTTTGGGGGAGACTCCAGAAGGAGCCCTCAGCCCTCTCCCTGCCCACCTGCCAGCCTGAGCCGAGAGGACAACTCGGACAAAAACCCCTTCTCCAGCCACCGGAAATCGCTGGGCGCTGGCGCCCACCGGAGCACAGTCGGGCAGGGCGGGGCTGCCCCCAGATCCTGGCCTCCACTCTCACCACAGGAAGGGGTACAGGTGCCTGAGGGGAGGGACGCCACGGAGCTCTCCTCCCCCTGCCCCCGGACGCCCGCGCCCGGCCCGCGTGTGCGTGAGGTGTGGTGTGCGTGTGTACGTCTCTCATGCAAACCCTCCCTCCCCAAACCGACCCCCCCAACAGTTTGCCATTCCATACAAATTTGGAAACAGGTTTTTAAAAAAACAGCATGACGCACGACGGGGACGGGGCGGGGGGAGGGCAGTGGCACTGGGGCCCCAAATCTCCGAGTCACTGATTGTAAGAACCTGGGGAGGAGGAGCTGGCGGGCGCCGGCCCCCAATAGATATTTGTGTCTTTTTATTATTGGTAGTAGTATTTTTTTGCCTTTTATTGCTTCTAAAAGTTCTTACTGCGTTTTCTCTCCGATCCGGACTTTGCGTTCGGCCTCCGTCGCCTCTTAGCTTTTTTTTTTTTTTTTGTATGTATGTTTGTTTGTTTAAAAAAGGGGAAAAGGGAAAATGGATTCTAGTTACAAATTGTCTTGGCTTCTCTCTTTCCTCTCAGTCCACATTCCCTCCCGCCAAAATTAAAATCACAAAACGCTGAGACTAAGGGTTGGGGTGAGGGCGATCGGGGTTCAGGCCTGGGCAGCCTGGCTTCTGCCCTCGTTAGGAAGGGGCGCCCGGCTCTTTCCTCCCTCGGCAGCTCTGTGTCTGTTTTAAAAGTAATAATAATGGGAGGGGGGACTATCCCACAGCTCAGCTGCCCCCTTACGAGCCCCTCGGGGTCTGCAGGGAAAAGGGAGACGGAAACCTAAGAGTAAGGAGTAAAGGGGGGGGGTCTCCAAGGAAGTGCCCTAAGGGGATCCTTGGCGAAGACTCCCTGGGTAAGAGGAGGAGGGAGCCCCTTGGGGGGAGAGAAGGCGAGTCCCCTGGGGAAAGCGAGGCCCCTGGGAGGGCCCCCCACTGTTAAGAGGACCGTGCTGCCCAGAGAGCCGCGGGACCGGCGGCCCGCACCCCGCGCCCGGCGCCACGGGGGTGCCCCTGCGCTCAGGGGCTGGGGACAGGGGTGCGGGCAAAGGCCAAAGAAAAAGGAAGGGGCGGCCTCGAGGTCTCAGTTATGGAAAAACGCGTTGAGCTCCTCGTACATGGGGCCCCGGTCGTGGTGAAGGTGCATATCGTAAGACAAGAGATTCTCGGAGTGGACGCCCCCGCGCACCGCGGACGAGCCGAAGACCAGTCCGTGGCCCGCGGGCCGCGAACCGGGCAGCGCGGAGTAGTGCATAGAGTAGTGGTAGCTCTTCTCGTGGTCGGGCGACGAGTCCTGCTTGAGCGAGAAGTTGCCCTGGAGACAGAGCGGGGGGCTGAGCGGGCCCTCGTACTCGGAGCTGTTGTAGTCCGGGCTCGAGAAAAACCATGCTCTACAAAAAACACAACTTCACAACTACATTCACTGAAAGTGTAGCACACTTCTGTTTTTTTAAATTACTTCCAAATTTGTGTATAATGATCTTCTTGTGAATGAGTTGAGCTGCAGGCAGCCGGCCACCAGGTTGGTGGTGGGCTGCGACAGGCCCATGCACAGCGTCTGCAAGTAGGACACCAGGTCGGGGCGCTTGCCCGAGCGCAGGATCTCCGAGAGCGCCCAGATGTAGTTCTTGGCGAGGCGCAGCGTCTCGATCTTGGACAGCTTCTGCGTCTTGGAGTAGCAGGGCACCACCTTCCGCAGGTTGTCCAGCGCCGCGTTCAGGTCGTGCATGCGGTTCCGCTCCCGCGCG